CAGGGGCCGCGGAAGGGTGTGGACAGAGGGACAATGTCCCCAGTAATTTATGTCCTCAGTATCTGCCCTTCTTAAATATCTGTACAACCCCTTCCCTCCCCTATCCTACAACATTAATGTCCCCAAATGTCCCCACACACCTTCCGCGGCCACTGGTATGCTGTGATGTGATGTGTGATTCGATCAGCGAGACGAGCCCTCTTCTTCTGTGCAGATTAAATCCACTTACTCCACTTTAAATGATTGTGATTTTGCTGTCAAAAGTGAACCTGAGAATTCCCTTGATTTTGATTTCTTCAACTAGTTTCAAACTAATCATACAAATGAGACGCGACTCTAATAAAAAGCGGATTTATAGATGCGGATCTGTAATCATCAGACGATTTTATAACGTTCCTACAAAATCTCTAATGTCAAATGTTTAACTTTTGTAAATTAATGCCAACATTTTTTTTCTTCTCGTGAACAAACAAGGAGCAGTTTGCATTCTCACAGTTTTACATTTGCACATAGATAAAAACTGTAAAAAGTTGTAAGAAAATGAGGCAGAGAACAGCTCCAATTCCTAAACATTATGATTATGGTAATAATTACCATTTGTTCAAGACCCGGTCTGACAAATGTCTTATCGTTTCATTCATCAAGGAATGGTAGTGGCTTTACATACGTCAATAATTTTTTTAAAATCTGAATCTGTAGATGAACGCCATTAATTTTGAAGTAGTGATTTTTATAATTTTCTTGTAAACAAGAATTTTTTAGCAAGTTTTGTTGATGTTAGTTCATCTTTTAATGTGTTAATTTCATCATATTCTATCATTTGTTATCATTTTTAGTTTTAAAGTAGTGAATTTTGCAAATAAGGATTTGCCAAACGGCAAGTTTTGTTGATTTTAGTTCATCTTTTAATGTGTTAATTTAAAAGCAGGTTCATCATATTTTGTGTCATTTGTTATCATTTTTTGGTTTTAAAGTAGTGAATTTTGCAAACAAGAATTCGCCAAACCGGGCAAGCAGCAAGTTTTGTTGATTTTATAGCATCTTTTAATGTGCTAATTTAAGCAAGTCCATCATATTCTGTGTCATTTGCTGCGATTTGCATGATTTTCTCAAGTCTAATAAAGCCATGCAGATGTACCAGTGGCCGCGGAAGCTTGAGGGGACAGAGGGCAATGCCCCCACGATTATTTGACGTCCCCATCATTTGTCCATCTTGTATAAACCCCTCCCTCATACAATGTTTATGTCGCCACAACTTCCGCGGCCACTGATAGTATGCACCACATATGTAAAAATATGCATACGTATAAATGTGTAAGAACCAGAAGTATAAAATATTCAATAACCTGATTAATCAACAATAATTATCCCATTAATTTAATAACTAATGGTCAAATTTTATTGCTGAACGGGACCATTTAAACCTTCAACAAGAAAGAATGACCATGTCATAAATTTTTATTTTTACAATTTCTAAATAAACCCGCAGTCAGTGGCACTGCGCAGTAAGCAAATTATGAAACAAGAGTCAAAATCACAATGATATTTACATTCACATCCAAATTGAACTGAACTAAATTAAATAGTGTAAATAAGATCAATAAACTGAAAAGAGGAAAACGTGTTTAGTTAATAAGAAGCTATGCTTACGTGAAGAATGGTTTAATTGTGTTGCTTGACATTTATTTAGTTTTATTGAATTGTAAAATAATGAATATTGAACGTTTTGCTTCCTGAAGTCGAGAAATAACCTCGATTCGGCAAATTCTTGGATTTTGGGATGCCAATGTTTACCCTTTCTAACCAAAGCATGCTACATAACTCGGGCCAAATTATTTAGAATGTGCCGATAATGAATTGTGATACGTAACTTATTATGATACCGTAAGTACAATGGGAGGAACTTAAAGCAAACCTCATTTCAAATTTGCACCAATAATATAATGACCATTAAGCCCAATATTTTTATGAAACTCCTTGGAATTCTTTGCGGAAGCCGGGTTAGTTTTTTTACACGTACGTGCAAATACCCCTGTTAAGTGAAGACTTTATGCGTTCGTCTGTCTGTCTGTCTGTCCGTTAGCAGATTTGCCAGCCACAAAAGTTATGCATATCTACGTCGTATAATACCTTTATTAAATAGGTTCAGCTACTTTATGTGAACACTTTGTCCGTTTGTCTGTCCGTCTGTATGTCTGTCAGTAGGATAACGGGAGAATGGATTGAGATAATCGAGATCGGTTTACGGCATTATACGTATGACCCCAGGGGGAGGATCCTACTAACTCTTGGGGTCAATCGGACCCCCCCCCCCTCGAAGTCAGGGGGTATGTTTACATAATTATTTGGGGAATTAGTTACCTGTTTCACCCCATTGCTACATTTTGTTAGCGACGTTTCATTTATGTACGTGCACACATTTAAGAAATTGTAGACTCAACTATAACTGAATGTAAAATAAAATAAAATACAGTAAAGTAAAAAATAAAAAATACTGCTAAATTAGTATTTGACAAAAGACTCCTGACCTCGATAAACCATTGAAACTGCCAATTTATGGATTTTCTTGGAGCCATGCATGTTTTTAGGGTGTGAAATTAAACGAATTTATGGAATGCTTGCTTACTTTACTTACTCCAAACTTACATAAAAAGAATTTCAACTTAACCAGCATTTTTTTAATGTGTTGTTAGAAATGACGCTTAAAATATCTCCAAGGTCTAACTTGTTAAGAAGAAGAGAATCCTGTGACTGTACATATGCACACACGTATTCTCTCTCTCCAACTAATGGAAAATAAAATTTGTTTTAAATTGTAGCCAAGAAAATTGGCCAAATTAGCAAAGGAAATGTCATAATGTACAAACTCTAACTTTTCTTTGGAACGACATATACCCTCAAAAACCAAACCACCAGATTTACATTTCCAACATACTGCAGAACACTAGAATTACCTATTCCGAACATTAAAAATACTTATATATACGTATCGCATTGAATCTTTAAACCCGACCAACACCACAAAAATATGTCCAGTGGCCGCGGAAGCGCGTGGACAATGTCCCCACAGTTATTCGAAGTCCCCATCATCCCCCCATCTTATACAAACCCCTCCCTCCCCCGTTAATGTCCCCACAGCTTCCGCGGCCACTGCTACACATACACACACACGAATCGCCTTAATTTTCTCAAAGACTCTGACTCTACCCAATAATTAAAAGTAAACTTTTACTCGTAATTTTAAGCCAGATTTTGCATGAAACGCGACCCCAGAAAATATTGCTCGCAGCCTTGTTACATTTTCTCAAGTGGTAACATGAACATGCACAAAAGCAGGAAATCAAATTAAATCGGGGGAATTAAAGGTAGTTTTACCCTTAGAATAATGAGATGAGGAATACTAAAGTATCGTAAAATGTCGTGATTTGATATTTACGGACGGGGTCGGATATTTGAGTCATTAATTTGGAGAAGATGGTGACCTGACGAAAGCAGCTCAAAGTTTGATTTGACCAAACGCTAACTGTAGATCAGTCAAAATGAAATGAATGAAGCTGCATGAGAGGAGGTGTGAACGTGTTCAAAAACATCACGCACCTCGAACCCGTGCCTCTCTAATCATCATCTGCTCTGTCTAATTACTGCTTTTATCAATGTTCTCAAACTAACTAACTACTCATTTTTTTAATAACTTGGGAAACTTGGGAGCTGTGTGTGTGTGTGGCGTGGCGTGGGGTTGTCGTGTCATCCCCGCATTCAGTGGCCGCGGAACCTGTGGGGACATTAATATTGTAGGATAGGGGTGGGAGCGATCGAACAACCGTGGGGAAATTGCCCCTCTGTCTATACCCTTCCGCGCCCCCTGTTATTGAAGTTTAAGTCGTGCAAAAAATATATAATTGCGAAAAAAAGATGCATGTCGTCCTCCGAAACTGGACAAAAATTACAATACGATCCAACCAGACGCATAAATAACAAAAAAAAAAACGCCATGATTTATTCCTATTTTTGTGTGCAGATGAACATGTATATAAAATGTCGTTGTTTCCTTTCCTGTCACTGTATATGCAAACGAGGGTAGTTTTTATTTTTCCCAATTTTCCACCTTCTCCGAGAGACACGCCAGCCACGATGATTTTTATTCGGCGTAAGAGCCATATTAAATATTCACATGAGGGTTCATGTCCAGGTGTAAAAACGGATATTTAATCTACAACAATATTTTATGCGGGTGCTGCGGTGGATGCATGGACATATTCCTCCTTTGCAAAATTCCCCCTTCCTCCACTAAATACGCTGCGACTGAATTAAACAAAAGTGTATGCTCGCTTGTGGTATGGATCGTTTTTATTCATTTGTTCCTTATTCACCTCCAGAATTTAAATGAGTCTCTGTTTTAACAGCCGTGGATGATTTACTCCGATATTAGTTAAGATAAGGGTAAAATTATTGGTTTTTAGGAACACTACACGTGAAAAAAACGGGCACGAAATTGTACTCATTTTGGGAAAATGTAATGTTACTTTTACGTAGTTTTTACCCCAATCTTACAAAACGTCTTTAATTCAAGGTATAAATAGCTCTTCGAATGATCCGAGTTACAGAAATCACACTACATGAAAAAAACGGGTACGAAATTGTATTCAATTTCGGAAAATGTAATGTAATGTTCCCAGTAAGAAGTAAGAATTTTACCCCAATCTTGAAAAACAAACTTGCTCAGGCTTTAATTCAAAGTATAAATAGCTTTTCGAATGATCCGATACATGTTACAGAAATTGAATGAATTGCTTCATTGTTTTCCGCCGTTTTCTTGTCGACGAAACTTGGCCGGCTTTGCGAACACGTAAATCTTCTTATCTCGTACATATTCAATCAATTCAATTCAAGTGTTATGTAAAGAAATAGGGAAGAATTTCTCGAAAATTTCCTCAATCTGGCTGGTGGACTAGACTCAAGGTGAATTTTGAATGAATTGAAATTTGAAATTTCATACCAACCTTAAAAATGTAATGTTGTAATGTTGTGTCTGGACTGGACTTGCACAGGAAATAAGTGCGTGGCTGGAAGGGGATATTTCTTTTTTTTCCGTGTAATGTTTTATTTAGAGCTTTTTACCATAAAGTAAAGTCACAGATGCCACGGTGAAACAGCACAATCAAGAATTTTACGAGTTTCTCAAACAGTCCGAAGCTAATTCATATTCAATTCAGGTGGTTGGTGAGACTATTTCAGAGTTTGGACGCTTGTCCAGTCCCACTTTTCGATGGGTATAAAAGGAGCTGAGAAACTGTTATATTTTCTGCTACCACGTCCAACTTATATTTCCATTCCACCAACGCAAACGAGTTTCTGAGACGGTTTTACTATGTGTAGATTCACATAAAAAGAGAACGAAAACGTTGTAAATATGCGGGCGTTTCTTGCTCCAGTAAAAATTAGATGTTTTACGGGTTAAGAGTGACAAATACGAAATAGTCGAATTAAATATTACACACACTGTTTTCTAGTTTGTTTTTCTGGAGAGAAGAGTTGTGTTTTTCAGTAGAAAAATATTTCCGTCTCAAATTTCCCAATTTACAAGGAACACTTTACTGGCCGGTTCTGAAATCTCACTGAAATCTAGACTGGATAAATCTCACTGAAATCTAGACTCGATATGAGACAAAAGGCAACTTTTTACCTTTTTGGACGATATTGTATTCACTCAAAATGGTAGATAATCTCTTCTCTTCACGATAATAAATAATTCATAAATGCACTTTTAGGATTTCTCTCAAATATACGTTTATTTTTGCTTTGCACAATTGATAATTCGGTCCGGACGGATCTTAGATCAGATCATTCACTGTACGTAAATATTTTAATATTTTTTTCAAAATTTTGTCAAAAAATCACTAACTTCTTCCAGAAATATAAGACACAATCGATGATGATGTAAGATTCGTGTAATACACGAACAAATGTCACACGAGATTTTGTCAAATCACTATAACTTTCTGGAAATAAGTAAGCCGTGTTTTTCATAAATAAGACACAATTCTTCAAGTTGTACCTCAATTAGCAGATTTGCATGGATAAATGTCACCCGAGTTCAAAACTTGGTCTCATACATACATACATGCGAATAAAATGCTATCCTTCTCTCACATTAGTTTAGCTATATGGTCGTTGTTACGTATTTATTATTATTATTATTCGGTCACGTCGGTTATTAACACTCGTCGATCAAGACACATGGAAAGGCAGCATTAAACGTGTATTACGTATATAATAATATCTCTAAATGCAATGTCACTTGTTCCCGTAACAAGACATTAATTTAATATGACGGGTAGTTACGTCGTTTTTTAAATTAATTTAATATGACGGGTAGTTATGTCGTTCTTTAAAATTAATTAAGTGACGCAAAATCTCAATTAAATAAATTACAAATCCCAAGGCACAAACTGAGAATTTCACCGGCGGAGAAAGAAAAAAGCCGTCGTACTCCGTGCTCCGTGCGAGTGAAACGACTCGACCAAAGTCTCAACCTAAACTGGGATATCCTCACGGAAAGCAGACTCAACTCAGCAGCCTTAAAAAGTGGTGGTGAGAATTTGGGCTAGAAAAGACCGCATCCAAATAACACCCAAAGCTTGCATTAACACAGGATAGGAAAGTCTTGTATTGCCTAAAATCCTCGTATACGTAACGTGGAGAGAGGGATCTGGTTTGTTGGATGGACTTGAATTGTTGGAGACTTTTTCAACCCTTTCCCCCTCATTGCTTGCCTGCTTGGTTGGTTAGCAGATCTGATCTGATCCTGTGCTACGAACACTGAGAGATTTCCCAAGTTTAAAAAAGCTGATAAAACTAAAGTAACCAAACAAATGAATAAAATGACTATAAACTCCTCATCCCATCGCATCCCTCGCTCACTTGCTTGATGATGGAGTTGCTAAAAGACTAGAATATTAGCATTTATTTATTATGTATGGACGTGGGGATTCTGTAAAAATAAATTTAGTACTGGGGATGCCTCTGGGTGTGTGTGGATTGGATATGCATGCATATGTTATGTACATACGTGCTCTTTCTTTGTCTGGGTTGGGCTTGATTCAGCTTTTTTCACTAATCGCGTCTCCTTCTTGAGGTAAACTTACTCGGTTTGAGATTAATATTTACGAGTTATGAAGATGATGATGAACGTGGTTTTATTAGCAGAATAAATAAATTGACATCTCATCTCTGCCATGTTTAACTGCTAGATGAGAATTACTGTCGTTCTTGTTATTTTTTGCTCATTCTTTCCTTCTTCGTGCCGAATGGTGGCAATAATAGCGTTGTAAATGTAATGTATGTGACGACGACTTATGGTTTGGTTGAGTCGAGCAGTAGCTGCGGAACAGGGGAGGGACAATGTCCCCACGGTTATTCGATGTCGCCATCTTATATAAACCCCTACTACAATGGAAATGTCCCCAAATGTCCCCACACCTTCCGCGGCCACTGGCAAGTGAAGATTATAATGATCTGTAATGTACTGATGGTGCTGCTTAATATGCTACATAAACACACACTCCTAAGTAACTAGCTACCCTTTTGCATGTATCTGTACGTAGTCGCATTACAGACAAAAGTGGTGGAAATAATGATAATAAAATGATGTGCTGATGGGATGGTGGTGGTGTTTGCCACTTATTTTGCGAGGTAGAACGACAAGATTGGTGCTTATTCTCTAAATTCAACCACTCAGATTTGCTACTTTTTTAGCCAAATGGGTTGTCTTTCGCGATCAGTGGTGAATGAGATGAAATGAGGATGGGTTAGGTGATGATAGGTGATTATGCTGTGGAGGAGAGGAGATTCTTTTAGTCGCTATTTTCATGCAGGGTAAGTATTTTTTGGGGAGGATGAGACCCCAAGAAGTTTTCTGGGTTTGGGGATGGAATAAAGTCCCGTTTTGGGTCGGTATTTTAGACGAGAAGGTGAGACTTTGGCTCGGATTAGTTAGACAGTGTTTCAGGTGAAAGTGACCACTTGCAAGAAATAGAGGGGAGAAAGTGGTTTTTTGTAGGGAAATATTTTGACCTGCAGGAAATGCAAGGCGCAAGAAATTCCGGCGCGTGGCTAGATGGCGCATATTTCTTGCACTTTCTCCCAGTTTTTTGCATGCATTTCTTGCATTTCCTGCTTTCCAGTCCAAGAAATATGGCAAACCCGCAAGAAACGAAACACTGTTTTCAAGAAATAACGGCAATAAAGTGTTTTTTTACAACTGTTTTGACCTGCAAGAAATGCAAGTCGCATGAAACTACGCCCCGCCGCTATACTTCATACTGCCCGCGACTTAATGGCGAATATGTATTTCTAGCACTTTCTCCCACTTTCTTACACCTCGCATTTCTCCCATTTCTTCCTTCACACCACAACAAATCTAGCAAACCCGCAAAGAAACAAAACCCCTCCATTTAAATTCGCCAAACTACAAAACTTTACCTTCATCTCCTAAATATCAAATTACAAAGTTTGACGAATCTTTCATCACAAATTTATCATACCTCGTCACCCAACCAGACAGACTTGGGTAAAATTATGTCCGGTTGTGCACCACACCAAAAACCATACCTCAATTCAAACCTTAATTCAATTCAAGCTACATACGCATGTAACCTCTCCTGTCCCCAATTTCCATATTTAGAAAGGGTTGCAGTATTTATTTAGCCGGGGTGTTGCCTGTGAGAACAAGGGAATAAGAGAGATTGATCGGAAATTGGGAGTTGAATTTCATCAAATTTAAATGATTGACACTGTAACTATAAAATTATTTAATTGATTTTTTATGCTTTTTAACGTCAAAAATTTCACCCACTTATGCATCTCAAAGTGACAAGAGTGACGAAAATAGTGAGTAAAACGTTCTAGCCGCAAAAAAAAACACATTTGTTTGTACGTATCATGAATTTAAAAAAAATACAACATCCGCTTTCTTTCGTATTTGGAGATATAGATAATCGTAAAAATTGAAGTTTATACAAATATCAAATAGCATTCGGAGAGAGAGTTTTATGTATGTACGAACTCGAAATTCCTGGGTTTACAATAGCGTCAAGTTTCTAAAAAATTATTCCGCACACCTCATTAAAAGAATTTAAAAGATTGCCCATCACTCTAAAAAAAACATATGCAGAAGAATGTAATACATGCTCAAATGTCAGATATTTGTTGGTCCACTACAATTATTACGGGGTAGATCAGTGGCCGCGGAAGGCGTGGGGACATGTGGGGACATTAATTAACATTGTAGGATGGGGGAGGGAGGGGTTTGTATAAGATGATGGGGACACCGAACAACCGTGGGGACATTGTCCCTCTGTCCGCACGCTTCCACGGTCACTGTTCTTTTGGAATTATTATCACTATTGAGCATTTATACGCAGTGGCCGCGGAAGGCGTGGGGACATGTGGGGACATTAATTAACATTGTAGGGTAGGGGAGGGAGGGGTTTATATAAAATGGGGAGATGATGGGGACATCGCATAACCGTGGGGACATTGTCCCTCCGTCCCCACCCACCTTCCGCGGCCCCTGGTTCCTGCTTTTCCTCACTGCATACGTAAAATGCTCAAGTATCCGATTTCATTTCACATTCAAGATCTTGTTTTAACTCTGTAAACAAAGAAACTGCACACCAACAAGACAACACTCGAGCAAACATTGCTTCTCGAAATTTTTTCGACTGTGATTAAAATATCGCCAGGCATACATACCTGACTTTAGTGACTTTACATGCATATAAAGTCAAAATTATTCCATTTGACAATGACCACATGAGTGTTGTTCCTCAACTCGGATAAGTTGTTGGTGGGATGGAGCGATGAATGTTTGCGATTGTAATTAGCAACCGAGTGAGTATTAAGGAAAAGTTCATTTTTCATCCATCTCATAAGTTTAGCAACACGGATGTATGTACGAATTCTTCTCGTCGAAAAATATCGTATCACAGGACCCACCAACCACACAAAGTTTTAACCAATAACATAACACACTCACTCCTCAGTCGTTCTCCACTTAAGTGATTTGTTCAATAAAAATCTCCTAATTTTGTATTCTGCTCAGAAAATCACAGAGCTACGAACGAACGCGAGTGGATGGATGAAATTATTCTTAGAATATTTATCATCCTTTTACAATTTATAATTTTTCTATGCTTCATCCGTTCAATCACAGACGGCACAGAGAGAAATGGCAATTAATAATAATATTGCTTCCTTGCAGGGCGCTTCTGCTGATATCTTTGGTCTTAAAATATTTATATTACTTTGCTGGCTGCCTGCCTGCAAGAATTGTATTTTAAATTTTTAATGCAAGAAATGCAGGGAGTGACAGCCTAGAAGAAGAAAAGTCAACGCTCTCGATGCGTATTTATGTATTTATTATTCCTGTTTGTTCCGAATATTATCATTATTCGCATTTTCCTTGGTTTGATAGGTGATCACAGTGATCGCTTAGAGCTAAAATCCTCAACAAAGTAAAATTCAAATCAAAAACTAAAATGGACTGGCTCCGTACGATGTCATTTACAAGGAGTTGGAAGTTTGGTGGTGGTGGTGGTTACACAGGGCGGATATGTATTTAGGAAAAAGTGGTGAAAATATTTACGAAAAAATGCCAAAATATATTTACAAAATATGTATTTACAAAAAAAAATCTAAAATTTTCATAAAATTCGTATCTCTGAATATCTTGGAATCTCTCTATTTTTTATCGAATTTCGTTCAGAAAAAAAATTCGTCTCGTATCATTGAAATATTTACAAAATATATGTATAAATATGTATATGTATAAATGTGTAAAATATTTCCATATTTTTCAAATAATAGCAGAAATATTTATGTCTGAAAACCTAAAAATTGGTAAATGGATCTTTTGTGGTATAATTTCTTTGAGCAAAAAATTTCGTCTCAAATCGATTAATATTCACGAAATATATGCATTTATTATTGAAAAATATGTAAAATATCTCCGTATTTTTTAAATAATAACAGAAATATTCATACCCCTGAAAACCTAGAATTACGTAATAATATGTAAAAAAAAAAGTATTTCGAAATTTTCTCTCTCAATTAGACAACAAAACCCAAAAAATTTAACCCTCTGTCAAATTCGCCATCAAACCAAAAAGTTGAAAATAACTACATAGATATCCGTCCTCCGCAAATACATAGCTACGAGATTTCAAATAGACTTTTTATTTTCGGAAAAGGATTGATTTGTAATAAGATGTGTAACTCCCAAAAATAGAGAGACAGAGATTCAATCTTTTTTCTATCTTACAAATCCGATGATTGATGATCTTATTTCTTGCTTGTACTTATAATACTTCTTCTCGTATTCTCGCTCTTTATTATTGCGGACGGAGTGAGTGAGCGAGGCTGGTCTGGTCATTGCTTCTTGTTTCTAATGGGTTTGATGATGAGCGTCTCTGAATTCAAAGAAAGGGTGAGCCTTGAAATAGCTTAGCTCTTAGCTCAGAAGGAGGATGGATTTTTGGTGTGGCTGACTCGTCGTTATTAACCAAATCATTTTCTAAACTCACCAATTCAAACAGATATCATTGATTGGTAGCTGTATGCAGCCAGTGGCCGCGGAAGCTGTGGGGGCATCTGGGGACATTGTAGAATGGGGGAGGGAGGGGTTTATATAAAATCATACCTGTTCAAAAATTCAGTTTTCATTCAAAAGTAATCATTGTGATTTCAGAGTGAAGATTTTCATTCACATTCAGTCATTTTCTTTCAAATTCATTTCATTTCACTTCATCGGACTTCATTTCTTACTTTGCCCCATGTATTAA